ATTGGCTTGGGGTCTATGTTATAACAAGGAGATGAGTCCTTCCCAAGACTACTGTGAGGAATCCTTGGTCCACCCTTGTGCCCCTGGAGCCTCGTATTATGGTCGTGGCGCACTACCTGTTTACTGGTAATGTTTGTTAGATGTTCATTTTTCTGTGTTTTATTTTTGATCCATTATGTTTTTTTTTTCTTTTGGGTGCCTGCAAAGCAAACAGGAGAAGTAACCCGGTTTAGGTTTCCCATAAGCTGAGACAGTTCAGAAAACCGTTAGGATGTCTCCAACAGGATTTAATCATATGACTTTGTGGAGCTTGTGGTTACAAGCTCTCCTTCCAGACCACTTGAGCCACGGGTTTCCCTTGATCGTTTAGATTACTATAGGCTGCACTTTTTTTTTTCTGTTGATTGGCTCAGTCATCTACGGTTGTTGAGTGCCACCATTTTGTGTTGTGCTATATTCTCTCTAGATCTCTCGGTCTTACTCCCACCGTCCCAAAAATGATGATCACAGTTTGACTTTTTACAAATTAAATATAGTTTTATATAATTAATTGTTATAAAAATTTGATGTTTCAAACTATATTTTTGAAAATGAACCCAATTTTATTAAATTTACATTATTACTAAATATATATATTTTTTCACAATTTGTGGTCAAAGTGTAACATACACTTTGACCAAAAAAGTCAAATTGTAATAGCCATACATCATGAGTTGTTTCTGAAATGATTCATGAAATATTTCATGAAGTTCTGATTGAAAATTAGGGTATAACAGACATGGATGCTTTTCATGTTCTGTGTTCCGGCTTCCTATTGCAAACAAAAGCCTCAATGTGTTGTGGCTTTTGTTTGAATGTTAAGAAATTTGAGAATGTTCCTTCTTGTTTTTGGTCAGGAACTACAACTATGGATCTCTAAGCGAGGAACTTAAAGTTGATCTCTTGAACCACCCCGAATACCTTGAACAAAATGCCACCCTTGCTTTCCAGGCTGCGATGGCGCGTTGGATGACGCCACCAATAACAGGACAGACAACAGCTCATAACATCTTCCACGGCCTCTGGAAGCCCACCAGGAATGACACTCTCGAAAAGAGAACTCCCAGTTTTGGCTCCACCATGAATATACTCTACGGTGATCAAGTGTGCGGCAAAGGGGAGGACGACTCGATGAACAACATCATCTCCCACTACCTGCATTACCTCGACTTACTGGGTGTTGGTCGCGAGGAAGCTGGGCCCCATGAGAATCTAACGTGCGCCGAACAAAAACCTTTCCGTGCACCCTCTCGCACTTCTTCTTGAGGTATGTGTGTGTGTGATGATTGTTTGAATGCCTGTCTCTATCCCAATTCTGGCTTCCAAGTTTACAGGAAAAGAAAGAAGAAACCTGCAGCAATAATAGGAGCAGTTAAGATTTCACTTTGCACCTTCCGGTTTCGCCCCTGCTCTATGTATTCATGAAGCTCTATATATATATACTCTGTATTGTACACTTGGGGATCATATGGTATATTGTATGGATTGATGGTTCTGTACGTGTGTGTTCTGCTGGCCTATTGTTTGTGTATTACTACTGCTATGTACTCCCTCAGGTCCTTTATATAAGGCATCATCGATTTTTTTTTATTGTGGAGAATTTAAGATTAAAAAAAATGTCATGATTATATTATAAGTACTACCTAGATCTACTCTCTCCCTCCCCTACATTTTCCTATTTATGGCTCCTAAATAAATGTCCCTCTTCTTAGTTGTTCTACTGTGATAAAGTTTACATATGAAATGTGGTGGATCGTCTTACATATTTTCATGGGATCATAATTGAATCTTTTTCTTTTTATGAGGTTAATTACATATAATCATTTTATGTATTAAGATCCATAAATTTAGTATAGATTTAGAGACCACAAAAGAATTTGTCTTTTGTGGGGTAAATATCACATATGGTATACGAATTTTTATCATTATTTCACTTCGGTATATAAACTTTAATTTCTTTCACAAAAATACACGAACTTTCAACATTCTTTCACCGCTGATCCAATAGGTGGTTTCTAGGTCACCTTCAGGTCATTTGGATCAAATTATAATTTTATAAATTTAAATTTTGTATTTTGACCCCACCCTTCCCCCCTTTTCT